AGTTAAGGGACATTAAAAGTGCAGATAGAGTGGAGTGCTTGAAAAAACGAATATAAGATTCCTAGGGGCAGCTACGTGCACAAATGTTAAAGTGGCCAGCTCTCCTGCCTTCATACGTCGATGGCCCCGAAGTATCGCGCGCACATTATGTCTGTGCAGCTGATAGTCCAGGTTCTCAGGTAAGTCAACTTGACTGAATATTTGTTTTTACGAGTCGATGAAGCTCCATAGTCTAAACTTACGACCAGTAAGGGCAGTGAAGGCTTGTTTATGAAAAATAAGGAAACAACGCAACTCATTAGGCGACAGGGTTTTTTAAATGTTATCAGTATACGACGTTTACGGGTCATAACAAACTGACCTGGGTCATCCAACCTCCGAACATGTGCGAAGTCGGCCATAAGTTACCTGAGTAGTAGCTAACTTCAGTGAAGGGGGAAGCGTCTGAGAAGAAATAGAGGGGATCGCTGGAACAACTTTATTCGCCTGACATTTCGGATTCCTGCTCGAACCCATCAGCAGAGACAATAGCAGATGGGGGTGGTTCATGCACAACGGGTTGTAGTGTTTATAGGATGCAATCGCTATGCCACCGAGTACGGATCAAAATTAACGGTTCGCTCTCCGCGAGGTTAACTACATTGCCCAGCTAAAATCTCAACGTTGAATGTGGAAGGGAGGGATCACTGCACTTGTTAATTGACTAGGGGCCAGTAAACCATGACTCAAGCAACTCACGGCTTACGCGACTGTCACCACTTGCGAGAATTTCAGCCTCGTCGGACTTGAATGTGTCGCGGGGTTACACAGGTTATGCAGCGGTCGAAAAGCCATTTTGATATATTTGACGTTATTAAATCATTTAATCGCCATAGGTCTATTATTTCCAGGGATGGGTGGGCTTTTTGGGACCAAACGAATATCTGAATTCTTAATGCGAAGTAAGCCGCTGCACAAGCTGTGATTAGGTGAAACATTAGAACTGTTAATTTGTCATCCTCTACAGCTTTTTTATTCCATATCGTTAGAGCTCCTTTCTCTCAAAGCGCGAATGGGAATAACTACCGCAGAATAGTATTACTCGATCGAGGAAGTGATCTTTACATTGATTGGGTAGTAGGGGCCGACATGAGTGATCTGAAAGTGATGACTATCTGAATGCGGTATCGGATGCCCTTTTTTAGAGAAAGAATGAGGTTGTTGTGGTTTGAGGAAATCATCCAAAATCACATCCATAAGATCGTGAACTTTCAGCTTGTTGGGAAGTTATCATGCTATAATTTGTTTGACGTAGTATTCGTCTTGTGGGTCATTTTGTTGGTCTAGCTAAACGCCTGTAGAATTTCTTTGCCATTTTGTTTAAGTTAAATCAACTTTTCATTATTTACAGCCGAAATAAAATTACGCGCCGGATCGGTGAAAATGATTATTCCCAAAATCTTTTATTCGAGTTTATTTTTACCTAATTATTGGCCCGACATCGCCTCGCCCGTGAACACCGCAATCCACCTTCGAGGTTTATTATTACTGGCAATGAAATGCTTATACTTGAATATAAAACAAGGGAAAGTCCCAAACAACACCTTAAACCAAACCTGATCTTCATCCTCGCGTGTCTGCTGGGAAATGCAGGAAGTTATCTATTATGAGTTCCTTGAAAGGAAACAGACCATTAATTCAGATCATTACGGTCAACGGCTTCGCTCGGTAGATAAAGCAATTTAACGAAAACGCCCAAATCTTGGAAATGGCGTGGCTCTGCAGCATGACAACGCCAGGCCTCATGTCGCATAATTCACCAAAATGTCGTTGAGAAGCTTGGCTTGGAGGTTTTTGCACCCGCCATTCTCTCCAGCTTACTATCTCTTTTGGTTACTCGAAAATACTTTGACCGGAGTATCATTCAATTTCGACGCGGATCTTCAAAATTATATCGATGACTCTTTTGCGTCAAAACCAGCGGGCTTCTTCGGGTGCTGGGTTGGAAAACTGCCTGAAGGCTGGAAGTAAATTGTGAACAACAAAAGAGGAATACATAATTTATTAATTTTGTGAATATTATAAAAGAATACCCTAAAATTTTAAGTAATTGAAAACCGCACAAACTTATGGAACAACCCAAGAGACTTGGCGTTTTAAACGAAATCAGCCTGGTAGTGGATGGGTGTGATGAGGATGTAGCAGTGATTGGTGTACCTGCCATTCCTCTAGGAAAAGTTTGAAAACGTTGCCAGTTATAGAAAATACACCTGTGGATGGGTTGAAGCGGTTGGATTCTGTTGCCTCCTCCTCCTCCTCCTCCTCCTCCTCCTCCTCCTCCTCCTCCTCCTTCTCCTCCTACCTACCTACCTACTCCTTCTTCTCCTCTGATCGTAGCAGAGTGAACGCTCGTTAGGTAGGCCAAATTTCAAAACAGCCTGACAAGAGGTAAGTTCGTAAGCCGTATCAATGAACTGGACGATTCGACCAGCCTACTAGAGCTCAGCCCCGAAACATCGGGCACTTTTAGACTTAATCTGCGCCATACTGTCTAATTCAACCTGACTGATTGACGATTTTGTGCGTCAGGGTTTTTTTTGCAGTATGCAGCCGTAGTTTCTGCAGTCATCTGTGGGAGTTTGGCCTTCAACAGTGCGTTAGGGTGTGCCAAGCACAAACCTAAAACGTGGGTTACGCGCTGGGATCTGTGGCGGAACGAGAACGCAAACAGGAGAATAAGAAATAAACCACCGAGGAGATCAACACAATGCAGACGAGATTTGTGCCTCCCTGTTCAGTAGTAGAGACAAAGTGCCATAACGTCGGCGCTAGGGACGAGGATAATGACAGAAAGGGAAGGTTAACCTTTTTTGGAATTAAGGCTTCAAGAGTAGACAATGCTATATGCGCAAAGCCACTTTGTTCAGTGTCGCTACCTTCCAGCCAGTGACACAATTTCTGATGCAGAAGAACACTCATTTTGTCAAGGATGTGAACCCTCTGCTGTAAGATATCGGAAACGTCTTGAAGGAACAGTTAATTGCCAGTATTTATAGGAGTTTTCAAGAATTGTTTAAAGTCTTGGTTTTAGGGTAATAATGATTCTTAGGCCAACAGTAGAGGTGGCTCGTGGAGCAGTGTAATGCCTTGATTCCATGGTTTAGGACAAAAGCCGACTCCGAACCACCGAGAGAAAGGTTGAGTCTCTACATACTGACAATAAAATATTAGCTTCCATTCAGTGTGTCAATTTTAGAAGACATTCTGTTTGGAAACCTGTTGACTGTTAGATCTTAATATCGTCAGCGAAGCAATGTGGAGGGGACCCTCCAAAGTTACTAGAAAGGAATATTCCGGAAGGCCCTTGTGGACTGGAGTGTCGAGTGATGAAGTTCATTCGAGGATCTTGAGAATACCTACTCGAGAACAGTGGAAACTTCGCGTCCGAATTATTATGGGGAAGATTAATGCAGCCTCTCCCTCACTTCTTCCCCTAGCAGCTTCCTCCACTCGAGGCGACTGGGGATGAGACTGAAGTATGTGACTGGCCATAAAATTTGCCCTCCACATATGGTGGTTTTTCCGGCGCTAGGGGCAGGAATCACAGATTTGTAGGATAGATCGCAATCCTGGCTGATGCATGAACTGGTTCATAGAGAGGAAGACGTGCGTGGCTTCTACTTCACTCTACCTTCGCACACTTATAATGTTCCAGTTCAAGAACCAAATAAAGACGACTGAAGATAGGTGTGGGCGCAGTGCCTTATCTGGCCTAAGGCTACCCACAGACGTGTTTCGCAGGCGCTACCTAACCATCGTAGCAGCCATAGTGAGAAGAAGCGATAAGAAAGTAGGTCTCGGGGGCCGAGTTACAACATCCGACACTAACCATTCAAGCCATGAATTTTAAGCTTCGGTGACACGAGAAAGCCCAACCAGAGTTATCATAACAGGGCAACGCTCAACAACATCTGTCTTTCACTTTATTCCCCCCTCATAGCATAACCCAGTTGTTGGGCCATGTTAAATCGAAGAGACAAAAAGACTGAGTGATCATTTCGATCCTACCTTAGGGGTGCCATCCAAGCGCAGGAGCTTATCCACGACGAAGCTGAAGTTACGCGGTATCAGATAACTTAAGCATTGATTAAGGGCTGAAATCCACCCCCCCCCCCTCCGGCAGTCCAATTCTATAGGTCACTAAGGAGATTTGTTATTAAGAAAGTCTTCGTGGAACGTTCTGCTAACTAATAGGCACGTAAAAATCCCAACGTTTTTTAAGATTTAAAACGAGCGTGAAAGAAGGAGACACGATCTCTGGGACAAGAGCTTTATTAGCATGACTTTTCGGATCCCTGCTCGAACCCATCTTTAGAGACAACAGAAGATACGGGTCTGCTGCTGTTGTCTCTAATGATGGATTCGAGCAGGTCTCCGAAACGTCAGGATAATAAAACTCTCGTCCCATCGATCGTGTCTCCGTCTTCAAGACTGTTTCCTGGGACTCGTCTTTTCGTTTCTATGAGCGCGAAAGTTTCCCGCTTAAAGTTGGGGCTTGATTGCGAGAAAATTCCTAATCATGATAATTGGGGACAGTTGTAGTGCCCTCACCCTGGATAACCGTTTGTGCTCCAGTCAGAAAACTGTCGAGGTATCATCTGCCACAGCTGAGCCCATGCTGGATTTCAAAGACTCTGCCGCCTCTGAAAAGAACTCAGATGGTCTCGAAGCATGCTCTCTGTGATTTTGTACATCATACTTGTAAGTTTACCTGAAGACACTTCGGCACTTACATAGAACGATTTAAGGGGTACGTAATTGCTTTTTGCGTCCTAGGTTAGTTTGGAAATACGAATAACTGGGATCACATATTAATGAAGCCTGAGTAAGTGGAAGTAGTTCTAAAAGAATTGACTGTAGGAAACCCGCTCCGAAACTGCTGCTTGGACTAAGGCTTGGACGCCGCCTCTGTCCAATTTCTCCTTGTTTTCTCCACGAAGAATGTCCTGCGAACCGTGCTGGCCATTTGTCTGGCTCGGTGCTGTGGTAATTTCCGCATCCTTTTTTGCGCAGGTTTTGTTAGTCTACTGAGTCACGTGTTTTTCCTGTCTACGAACACAAATAAAATGTTTTGGCGGGCTCTGTTATGACGGCTTGTGCGGATTTGGCTGCATGATAGCAAAATAAATGCTCTGTCTCTCATGCCTACCCACCTACTAGGGCCGGTAGGAGTGCCATGCGTGAATAATAGCTACTATATCCTGTCACGCCCGACTGCGTAAAGTTTCACAGCATGATTGTTTAATTGGCCTTACCATCTTAGTAAGCACACCGGTGTCTACTTTGACATTGCGGCAGAGCCTAAGTCCATATCGTAGTGTGCCAGCGCATTTCAGAAGCCACGTTTTATCAGTTTAAATGCACACTTGTGCGTGTAGAGTGGTACGCTTAAATCTCGAAAGGGGTCCGAACGGTTGAGTCATCAGAGTGAAAGGTAGCACTGTTTTACCAGTGTACTTTTTTCCCCAGTATGTAAGTAATATTTACCAGTGTGCGAGCCCCGGCTCAAAGATGTGATCACCAAACACAGGCACGAGGAGGTCCGGGTTTCGTGAACATTACTTTGGGAAGTGGCAACTTTACTGTCAAGTGGAATCGTGGAAGCTTTGATGTCTAAGGTGACGTTATAACCCTTTGATGCAAATATTCGGTAGTTAACTGCTGATATACTAAAATTTGCAAACTGAACGACCTATTGCCCAAGGTCGATACTGGGAAAAATCAATGTTCATAGTGAAGTTTACAGGGACGCAGACTCAACTCGCGAGTTTGCCTGGGATCCCACTCACCTCCATATTTATCACTCTCACAACTTTTTTGGAATTGGCAGCTCCCTCCATGGACACTGTTGAATCTGATGTGACCTCCTCGGCTCACACCTTCGTGTATGCTCTCCTATATGCGTTAGTAAAGCCTTACTACTGCTTACATTTTGTTAATTTTCTGTAGGCTAAAACTATTTCGTCAGATAAGACGGAACTAATTAAAGATCACTAGTCAGATGACTGCGATAGCACTTGCATCGGAGTGTAGATGCTTTAGTGGAGGCAATTAGGCCGGGGTCAGTTCCGGATGAAGGACGACACACTAAAATATCACTGGGGGCATAAGACCGTTTTTTGAACAGCAATTACCGCTTTTTACAAATATTTGACTACGCTGCTGTTGCTACAGGGTCGTGGCGACAATGACAGCGCGAACAATCATGATTATTACGGTCACTCTCGATAAACTACATCACCTGCCGCAGACGTTGATTATTTACCCCGTGAAAAATGAGTTTCGTGCTGTTTTCAACACCCTTGACCCCATACCTCCTGACACTTTTGCTTCTAAGGCGCAGAATGCCTAATAGTGAGTAGGCCGTGAAAGGAGCCGTTTCAGCGCAACAAAGGTGAACCTCAGGGACGCGAGAAAGGATATTGGACGAGCAGACACGCGACAAAACTAGCCCATGCTCTTAACCCGAAGTCTGACAATCTCATCCATGAGTTGTCCTTCTTTGCTGCCTGGTGTTAGTGGAGTCACTGTGATCCGTCGACCGGAAAAGGCTGTGATAGGGTGACTCAAAGTTACAATTAGTTTTCGACTTTGTCAAACCGAAGCCAGACGTGTATGGGGACACCGGTGGTTAAAACTTACCTTCCCTCTCATCAGTAGCCTTTAAGTAGTCATCCCCTTTCTGTTGTATGCTTCTATCTGAAACAGCCAATCACCTTTCCCCCAGATAAGGATGGGATAACCAACCCTGTCTGTTAGAATCTTCCCAGTAATAATAAAAACATGAAAGGAGTACTAGCAATTGTGAGATGAATCGTCCACCAGAAATCCGTCATCTTGCTGGTCCTTCATGTGCAGCGACTGCAGCAGCGGGTTTTGCTGGGATGCTTTCAAAAGGCCTATCAATCACGGTTTCTGACAGCTGACCTCATGCTGACTTCAATAAGTGTCTACGAGTTCTGCTGATGTGAGAATCGGTTCTAGTTTTAGGACCTTGTGACGGAAGCAGAGAAAGGTAAGAGGACTGAAATGTCAACTTCAGGCTTGTCTGCAACCATCGGCCAGTCGTACACCAAGCGGGGGCCATGATGGCCTAAAGTTCAAACCTGAGTCCAGTCCGTCATGAAACCGAGGGTTGTGACAAATGAACCGTAGACTTACACTCTATCACTCAGTACGGGAAAGCTCAGAAAGCCACGTCAGTAACTGTGTGCAAACGGAATTCTTGTATCCCACCCAACGCCGAAATAGAATCGTTGAGTGTCTTCCCCGTTTGAATTACAAACATGCTGGATGGGACCAAGATGAGGCGATCGCCTGGGTAGAAAACTGATTGAGGATGGACTTCTGTTTTGA